TGCTTGAGTAGAACCAAAGTAATTTTTCTACTTAAGAACTATTCATTAGTATTGGAGTGCTAGTTCTGTACCTGAAACATTACTTGGAATGAAACAAAAGGCAATCTAATTCTGACACATCAGCTTAGGAGAGGGAGTATGATGCAAACACAAAATATAGAGTAGAACGTTGGAATAAAGAAAGGTAGCAGAAAGCTTTAGCAAAAAAAAAGTATCATAAATTTGTGTCCTGGCTTGCTGGGATAGAATCTTAGAATCAGTTTTCTATTAGGAAGACTACATTTTAAAAATAATTCAGCACTTCTTCTCAGTGGGAACAAAGTGATAAGACACTTTTAGTTTTTGGCCACCTCTGGTATGAGGTGATCAGGGTCTTGAGTTAAATACATGTTGAAGCTGGGAAGAGTGGAAACACAGGATAATTGACCACAAGCTGGCCAATGAAAATTATGTTATTAGTCATGCTAGCTATAAAGTGTGGAGTTTGCTGGGGACATCTCTCCTTCTCTGATGGTTGCCATCCCAAGAGGGACTCGCCTGCCATCCTATTCCCAAGGCCTACTCCCCCATAGCATCAGCTGACTATACCTCTATGTACTTTATATAAATAATGTTATTAATATTGATTTCTCTTATCAGTATTTTATTTATCTGTTTTGATTTCAACCCACAAGGTTGAAACCCACATTTTACTTTCTGTTTTCCAGACTCTCCTCCCCTGGTGAGGAGGAGTTATCGGGTGATAGAGTAACTGTCTAAATCATGATAATTTGCAGGCAGAAGTGAGGTGGAAAGATATTCCAAACATCAGAGAAAGGACAAAGAAGATGTGATGAGAAGAATGGGAGAATTAAGAAAACAGAAAACTTCAGAAGAGGAAATTATGAGTGTAAGGAAGAACAAGATAGAAAAAGAGTTAAGGAAAAAATACCTGATGTTAAAATATTATTTTATATCCATTGAAATTTTCAATAGAATAAAAAGAAAACAAGGGAAAACCTTTCCTTTTCATTTTCAAACATTTAATGGAAAATTTTAGCAACAGTCTGATTATCTTAAATCCCTCTATTCTCTCTAACTCTCAGGTCATCTCACTGTCAAAAAAAAAAGAAAGGAAAGTCCAGCCAGAGACACCTTCACTCCCCTTCCTATCACTTTCCAATAATGGCATTTTTTAAAGTTTCTGCCATTATCTTGTACTTTCTTTTGGGTGTTCCTATGGTACACTGGTAGAAAAACAGTATTTTCAATGCCAGCTTGGTATACTGGTTTGACACAATGTTTGCATCAGTGTCAAACACAAATACATTTTGTAAATCCCTGTGAGAATCAGCAGAATTAGCTGGATTCCCCTTCCAATAAAAGCTATAGCATGTTTCAGGTGTAAAATGTCATGCAAAATAATTTTTTTTAGATTTTTAAGAGATGAAGAAAATATTGCATAACAATTGTGGAATGGTTCTTCATCATGAATAAAATTTTGCACTACATAAAATAGAGCTAAGTCTATTGCAATAGGCTTAAAGTGGGGCCCCATATTCCTTATGCTGTAGTTCTCATTGGGTTTGGCTTCAGGCTTTAGAAACCTGCTTTAATACACAGCTAAACTTACACACAGTAAAAAAACACAACGTTGCATATACCAGATTCTTAACAACACTCCCCACAGCTCCATGAACTCTTGTAAATTCCTGGCTGTACAAAATTTTCAGAGGTCTTCACTCTCTAAACACAGTGCTCGACGTGGAGCTAGCACGTAGACATGTCCTAAGTGCTTTTTCTAGATGTTCCTGTGTTTTGAGACCCCATTGAACCTGCCTCTGATGGGGTCAGCTGATGGAGGCATTCTTCAGCTGATCAGCTATTGAATGCTGGATCACCTCTCTTCCTAAATAACCAGCTCACACACCACACAGTGATGGAAGATTTTAAGCAACAGAACAGTCTCTACTCTAAAGGGAGCTGTGTCTGCAGAGGAGTTAGTGCCTTCAAGAGGCAGTTGCAGTTGTGTCCCTGCTCCTGCAGAGCTCAGCTGCAGCCCACCTCTTGCTACAACCAGAAGCATTCTCACATTGTGGTTTCCCCATTTCCAGACATTTAAGACCCTCTGAAGCAGACTGGGCAAGTGATAGATCAATTAAAAGCAGCTAAACCAAGACACTTGACCTTAGAAACATAAATCATTAGTAAGTTCACCAAGTAAGGCAGAAAAGAGGGCCACACTCATTTGTTCTCAGAATTAAGCCATGGACCAAAGCCACAGTATGGGACATCATTCCACTGCAAGGAATGCAAAGAGCAATTTGCTTTTTCCTTTCTCATATCTCAGTTTCCTAAATACACTCTTTAGAAACTTTAAAAGTAAAAAGGATATACCTGGTTAGCATAGGCTGACAAACTTTTACGAGGTGTAGGCTCCGTTTGACAAGCTCTTTCCTGTATAAAGAAAAAGTATAAAGAAGTGTAACCTTTGCATTTAAACTCTTTGCAGTGACATAGTCCAGCTGTGGAAACAGTCTTCTCACAGCAGGTAGTTACAGTAATATTGATCAATATTAATTCAACATCCAAATGACTCCTAGAGTACTGCACAAACATTATTGGTGCTCATGCAACTACAAATAGATTTTCCTGTGGACCAACAGCAGGTTCACATGACCATCTGATTTCTTTCCAAGTTAATTAAAATATTTAATTTCAGTATTTCATTTTGAAGGAGCTGAAATTATTTATTTCACCTCTACCATTTGAAATATTCTTCTATCAATTATGTTATCAGTTATGATATCCTACCAAATTTGAATAGTTTTGACCTATATATTAAAAACTCACTTTGGTACACCAGTCAAGAGAGTTGAGCAGAATAACTTATAAACAATTCATCTGATGTTACAAAAACAGTATTTTTATCACACTTACATCAACATTCTGAAATAAATTAATATATTTATTTGAAACACTCATTTCACGAAGCAGTGTTTTCTTTCAAAAAACTGTTGTGTCAGGACATTTTTCAGAAACTGCCTGTAGCATTTCACTGACCTCTGAAATGAAGCAGTCTCAGAGGTGGAAGCTGCACAACCTGTACAGCACACAGCAGTACTTCACACCTATTTAATCCCTATATTCTGTTTTCAAAGGCAGAATCAGAGAGACACACAACCCTTTCCCAGTAAAAGCAATGGGGAGAGAATATGCAGATCTGGGGACAGAGAAATAACACATTCCATGGCCTCTGCAGGGGTTTTTGAAAGATGCAGAATCTTAACTCCAACTTTGCAGTAAGCATCTCACTGATGTATAAATTCTCCTGAGATCTTCCATCTCTACTAGGCCACAGATACCATACTCCTGCCAAGGAGTTAGCAGCTTCAGCAACACAGTAACTCTTAGATCTCTCCACCTGTAAAAGCATCTAACTTCAGGTGTAATGGTTGTAAGAAGGCAGGCAGGCTCTCTGGGGAAGCTATATATACTCTAATTCCAGGGCAGCAAGGAAAACAAGAGATTTTATTTCTCTGAAACTTGTATCTCCAACTCAGAAAGCTCTCTTTTGAGCAAGCAGATGGGGGCCAGCATCACTGGTACTGCTCGGTCAGGAGGCCCTCTGGAGACACAATCACTGGAAATGGCTGCAGGCTCAGCGGAAAGCTTAGGGAAGCAACATAAGGTCTTGGATCTGAACTGGTTGATACATGCATGCACAGACTGGGAGGAGATGTACCATTTAGCAGCAGTAAAGGTTTGTCATAATTACATGGGTCAGATACTGTAGTACCTGTGCTTAACACAAGCATAAATATCTTTATCCTTTCAATATAGGGGCACTTATATCCTGATTCTACGGGAAAGAATTGAAGTACAAGTCCATAAAGGGACTCTGTGGCAAAAGGAAATTGAATTCATGGATTACAAGACCTCAGCTAGTAACCTAACCACTGTTCTATACTTTTTCAGATGAGAAAATATACACAAAAAATGTTATACCCAAGGAGAGGTTTAAGGATTTACAGTAGCACCAAAACTTCTTGTGGGCTGTTCAAGAGTCCATGAGGCAATAATTTTTCTGTCACCGTTTCCACAATAACAAATGTTTTACCATAATAAAACACTAATTTTTTCTCCTAATAGTATCAACAGAGATCACTGGATATGACATAAACACAGATGATCCACATGCCCTCCCAAAGCAAAGATCCTCCAAGTCACTGAAGGAAATGGCAGCATACCTGCATAGGGTTGCTGAGCGTCATTGAAGCTCTCTCAATGAAGTTGAACTGATTTGCAAGCTTCTGCTCCTTCACTCTTGGGGCAGGAGACTCTTCTTCCTCTGCTGCCTCAGCTGCTTCTGCTGTTCCTGACTCCTCTGCCTCTTCCTTTCCTGCAGCCTGGAAAAAAATAGAGCAGTGACTCCATCCTGAAAGACCCAGACATCTCTTTCCTTCTTGAGAAGCACTTCTAAGACTGCTGGATTTCTGCTACCTAGTGAAGAACACTGTAACTGAAGACTCAATATTTAAGATGGAAACTAGGAGACTTCCAGCTATCAGAACAAGGCGATTTTGAAACAGTAACTAAATGTGAATATGGAAAATCAGGAACTGAAGTTACTTTAAAACAGAGTCTGACATGAGCAGGTAATATAGCATGAATACCTTTGATAAAACGGACTCATGGACCAGAAGACTGTGTCCCACTGCCCAGTGTTTTCATTTCCTTGCTGGACAGTCAGTTTCATCTCAGACTAATCTGAACTTGATTCCAGGGCCTGATACTGTGTGGATAAGAACAAACTTCCCACAACATGCTTCTTTTCTTATCAGCTAACTGCCTTTAAATCAGGTCACTGCTTATTACAGGTAGTTATGCCTGCTGCTTTCACATTTTGATTTTCAATAATTTCTCTTTCAGAAGTGGACATACTGTCCATAAAGATCCCAGGTCCCAGCAAATTACACGTTATCATGATATGATATCTGGATAAAGACAGACCTGGTGTGTAGAGACCTGTCATCCCCCTACACAGCTTCTCCAAACCAAAGAATGGCAAGAGGACCCCAGCTGTTCCGTAGAATCTGCAGGACCTACCTACGAGGCATCTCAGGCACAAAAGAATCAAACACAGGAGCTTCTCAGCAAGCCTATTTTATAATAAGGGAATTTCAAGTCTAATATTAAAAATAAAATGGACAGCTTTCCACTGACCATGGAGAATTACCTGAGTATCTCCCCGGCTTTCTTCATCTTTAATCTCTGCCTCTTCAGACGGTATTGCAGAAGTCTCAACAGGAGCCTTTTCTGATGATAGAAAGGATAAATGAAAAAGCCCAGGACAACAGGATGTATTATCACATATTCTGCAGATCCTTCTATCTTCTAAAGCATTAATGCACAGATGCATCCTTTTCTAGCGCTATCTCATTAGACAACACAGTAACCAATCCCCAGTTTGGAGGGTGATTATTTGCTCAAAGCCACAAAACAAGACAATGTTATTACTAGAATGAAACTGCACTAATTCTGTCTGGACTGAAACAAAAAATATTATTTTGCCTCAAATTCAACTTCTGAAATCCACTTCTGATCTGAGTATCTTTGTTTCTGGGTATCCCTTCAGCTCTGGACCTTTCTGTCCTCCAAAAATGTCTGCAATTATGTACAACCATGAAGAATGCTTTCAAAGAACATAAGACTTATAACATGTTTTGTTCCTGTTTATATGGATAAAAATGAGAATGATGGATGTCTACATACCAATCACAGCCTTGAGTGTGTATTCATGCTAGCATCAAGTTGTTTCAAACTAGCTATTCTGGAATCTATGAAAAGTACTGCCAACAACAACAGTCCATGGTTTCATGGCACTGAAAATCCCATTTAGCACTTTGTCCTACTTCAAATCATCATGTATATTTTGTTAAGTGTGAAATAAAAGAAGCATTGACTCTCAGAAGCTGCAAGTAATGACTATTCTCAGAAGCTTATCCAGTGGTACCATCGTTCCTAACATTTACCACCTAGAAAAGACACTCTTTATGATGCAACTTTTCCTTTCACAAATAGCAGAAATATGAAAAAATCACTAGCAGTGCATCTTTCCTCACTGAAAATGCAAACCTAGAGCTCTTTACTAACAACAGACCTCCTCAGCCTCTGATTAAGGTGTCTTTTTGACTGAAAACCTAAAAATACTAAGAATAGTAGCTCAGATCAAAGGTCCAATGAGCTCAATATCTTGTGTCTACATTGTCCAGAAGTAGATGTTCTGGTAAGAGTGTAAGAATTGGTCAAGTACATGATAGTTTCCTGAATGCTCACCCAGCCTCCAAACATTTCTGCTTTAATACTTTAAATCTTGATTGAAACTTTCAAAGTAGGCTAAGGCGTTTAGACATGTATGTCCATCTTCCACTGGTAGTAGTGGAAGATGTTTAAAAGACAATAAGTATCTCTGAAAACTTCAGTGTTATTGTTCCCATGTCTCAAAAAGCATGCACCTTTTTCTACACTGTGGCAAACATCTGGCTGATTGTTGTTTCTGGAGGAGGCAAGCCAAAATAGGAGCTGTTCAATTCTACAGTGTTGAAGCATGAGCACTCCCTTATGTTGACTAAGTGTTACCAATGTCTAGCTGAAAATTCTTGTGATTTCAGATAGCAAACTTACCTGATGTAATGCTTAATCTGGCGCACTGCCGTCTGCCTTCATCTGAATCTTTGGGTACCAAGTTTCCATTCAAAGTGAAGTGAATGGCCATTTGATCCACATGGCTTATTGGTTTGTATGTTCGTTCCTATAGAGGGGAAAAAAGCCCAGCAAAATCAGCATGGAAACAAGATCTTTTAAACCAAAAATACTTAGTAGCCTTAATTGCTAAAGCTAAGAAGATCCATAGTGATAAATACATGCTTTTTATTGGCATATATACACTGAATTTCTCCCAGCAGCTATCTACATCTCAGTACACTAAGCACAATAAATTAAAACTACAATGAGAAGAAGCAGGAACATGAAACATCTAGTTCTCCAACACTACCATAGCAAGTGAGTTTAAATATAGTTCTAGTGGACCTCTACTATGCAGCACTCCCTAAGAGACTCTCATGTCCTCTTGTGCTGAGATCCTTGAATGAGTTGTTGTAACAACAAACTAGTTACAGTAGCACAGAGATGAGACAGGCTTGGGAATATTTCACCTGGTTGTGTGTTCCCTGCCTAAGGTTGGGGACAATCCAATGCCAGAGATGGAGAAGCTGTCCCTGTGTCCTTTCTTTCAGTGGGTGTAGCCCTTCCAAAGGTGGAGTGGGAGGCAAAGCCATCATGCCACTCTCTCCCAGTGGCAGCCTGTGTTGCTAGCTGTTCGTACTAGCAGGAGGAGGCTGCACCAGGGTAATGCAGCATATACTCTGCACACTGACATATGAAGGTGTGGCTCTTGCATGCTTCTTGGCAGTCTTTGATGCACCCTCCCCAGCTCACTCCTGCTCATTGTGAAAAGAGCTTCTATCAGTGATTTTATTAAGCACATATCTGAGCTTTCCTATAATTAAAACAATTGAATCTTGATGTGAGGATGCTGAGGCATAACTGTCTTACAGACTGAGTAAAGCACTGCCTTTTGTCCACTAACCACCACAAAAAGGAAAAAGTTACTGCCTAAGATTAGCTGCACTAATTATGTTAGCTGTCTGATCTTGCTAATTAATTGTTATATCCTACTTCTGAATAAATATATGAATGCTTTTAGACCTTTATCCTCTGCAAAAATCCTCTAAGGACCATTGGCTGTAAATACGTAACAAGATGAAGCCACACTAAAGGAAATTTACTTGGTTATAAATCAAAGAAAAACACAAAACCAGGTAACTGCAAAACATCTCATCCTGGTTTTACAGGTGATGTCACACTTACTTTAAAGCTGTATCTGACAATATTCTGAGGAGCATGGGGATTATTAGCTGTCAGGACACGTGTAAATTCCTCTTTTAATTCCTTTGGAATGGAAACAAAATAATATCATAAATAAAACTCTACTAATAATACAAAGTACAGCATAAAAATTCATCAGATTTATGCTCAGTCCTATGATGTTTGGTTTGCTGCAGATACCTCACGTGCACCTGATGCTTCCACAAGAGCGATGCTTGGAGCCAAACTTGCTGAGAGTAGAATCCAGAACAGTCATCCCACTTTCTACTAAAGTACCTCAATGGGCTTTCTTTAATTCTTTAGCTGTCATGTTAATTCTCATCTAAGCTATGGTAGCCCTTGAAAAATGCCAGCTGCATTCTATAGCACAAGAAAGATAACCTACATTTGAAGCGTACACTGTCTGAAAAAAAGAGTAAACAATAAGCTCAGTAGCAGTGCTTGCAGGATTTACCACAATGAACAAAAAACAGTGCTGCTCTTAACATTTTACCCAAGTGGGGGTAAGTACATATAGCTTTTCCTTCAAGAGTCACTTGGAGGACAGGGAGCAATATTAGAGTTTTACATGACAGTGAGAAGAGAGAGAGAAGTGCAGTTGGAAGAGTGACCAACCAAAATGCTACTGAATCAAGTTGAGAAGAAATGGCTGTAAAACTGTAGGACACCTCCCTGCTCTATCACACACAGGACACCTGAGAAGCTCAGGGTTGGCTCTGAGGTCCTCCTTATCTGAGGGAAGCCCCAACCCCATTCCCCTCTTGGATCAACTCCACACAGTTACCTTGTCTTAGGTGCAGAACTGTGTTTCAAGGCACGTTCTCCTTGTTTTCCTGCTGAAAGTAATTTCAGTTTATACAGCAGATCCTGTATGTTAGCAAGTACTAAAGTTTTACTCCAGAATCAGAATTTACTCCAAAACAAACAGGCAAGGAGTAGGCTTCAGCTCATGGAGTTTTTTACACATCTCATGACAACTACAGACACAGTTTTACTCACAGCTTCAGTCAGCTCCAGTTGGTCTGGGGGTTTAACTAGAGTCTTTCCTGCTGCCCCTTCATCTACCCCCTCTCCCACTTCGGTGGAGACATCTTCATCCTAGAACAGGAATAACAAGCCCATTAGTGCACCAAGCCTATGATTGTTTTGCTCCCTATCGAAACCTAAATGACAGGCCCAAATCTGATGACTGTTGAATGGCTACACTTGCCAGCCAGAATTCAGAGGCTGAAGGAGCTGCTGTCTGAAGATAATTCCTGGGATGAAGCAAAACTGGAGCAACTCTAGTAACTAAACTCATGTCACTTCAATTTCAGTTTAAAAGTTGGCAGTTCCATTTCTTTTGGCCATATGACCCAATGAACCATACTTTTAGACTACTCAAGGGCACAAATCAAAGACTTGCAATTATTTCTGAAGTGTTATTCTATTGTATAAGCTACACATAGAAATTGGTTCAAGATACAAAGCTGCAGGGATGTGCCTCCTGGAGGAACGTTAACCATTTTCTTGCAAAGGGCAGCAGGTTCACATTCTCCTAATACAGAAAGCTGATCTCCTTCAGCTGGGCTTGGGTTGATGTCATGATATGGTATCATTAACAGGAGAAAGAATGACTGTAAGGATGAATTTCAATTAACTGTCATTACAGATAAGCTGCCAGAACACAAAGTTGCTGATTAAAGTGTTTAACTGCTCTGGGCAAAAATTCTTCCTCAGTTAGAAATGTGTAATGGGTTGATTTAAAATAAATCAATCATTCCTTTAAATACATTACTCTCAGGTCTGCTAAACTTTATAGCCATACTGAGCTGCCAGTAAGTCCAGGTTATAAGTGAAGGCTGGTTGCAAGTATAGAGACTGGACCCAGCAAAATTTTGCTATCAGCAGAGGGCACAAAGGTAAAAAGTACAATGCTGTATAAAAATGTGCAGTGGCTGAAAGCAACGGAGAATTCTGCATATATCAGGCACCCAGGGATAGTCATGGGCTGCAGCCTTTTTTTCCTCCAAGGCAGATGAAATGAGGCAAGCTATAAGGAAGGTCAGGCAATTTGATACACTAGAGACCATGATGGTAGAACAGTTGTTTGTGATTTAATGCTTCTCACATAAACACCTGCTTGTAGGACATTCATCATACACAATTTGATGCCAGTCAGTTCAGTGCTGTTTTCCCAAGTGAAGCAGATAAAAAGTGTTGTGGGTTTAATATTTTTATTTATGTTTTTCATTTGAAAGTAAATCACTTTCCATTTTTAAAGGGTCAAAGAGGAACATTTAACAGGACTGTGATTTGTCCTAAGAAAGTGAAAAGCTGTTTATCACCATGCCTGTTTAAAGGCAGTTAAACTGCCTTCTTCCATCCATGTCAATGGAGTGAAATAAGAGGGAGGTAAATTAAATAAGGATGTTGTAAACATTTATTTGCCTGACAGCAAAAACATTATCATGAGGCTAACAGTCAAAAAGTTAACACTAGTTTCTCTAATGCTTGTATTTCTATGATAATTAAGTGAACATGGGCTACCTCTTGAATTTTCTAAACTTAGCAGGTAGTGTTCTCACAGCCTAGGTCAGCCTATATTATGGAATTTACATCCCAAATATTTTATTTTAATCTTTTCATTTTGCAGTTTACCTAAATCATGCCTTTGTTTTAGCTGTCATTTTAATTCTAAGTTGCTAGTGTAATTCCTTTTTAAGTGTAAATCTAGAGCAATGCCTTACTGTTAAATCAATTGGAATATCACCAATTCCATGAAACGTGCCATTGTTCAAACTGAATCTAGTTTGCATATCACAGATAAAGAAGGGAAAAATACTTTTAAAGACTCATGGATTTGTGGATCTTACCCATTTTTTAGCTACACCTTTAGCAGGCCTTGGTGGTACTGCCTTTCTTCCTGACGGTCCACTTTGGCCCTGAAGTGAGAACATACACAATGTAAACCTTCAAAGCAACTTGTTTCATAAATCAACCAAAGCACAATCAAATTTTTATGTGCTAATGTTTGCTACAATTGTATGTTTCAAAAGCCATGTAAACCAGTATTTCATCTATAAATCATTTGACTGAATGGCAGTTACTTTCACAATGGTGGTTGAGTCACCTGGAGGTGTTTAAAAGACATATTGATGTGATACTTAGGGGTGTGGTTTAGTGGTGGGCTTGGCAGTGCTGGGCTAACAGTTGGACTCGATGATCTTAAGGGTCTTTTCCAACCTAAATGGTTCTATGGTTTTATGATTCTATTATTCAAATAGAAGACAGCAGTTTATCAGCATGAAGAAATCCTAAGCTCTATCCTTGTTACTGCCTATCTGTAATACACTTAAATGTCACACACATGGCATTCTAGTGCCTGACTCAAATGTACAGAAAGGCTGCTCTTGTCCCAAACACTTGCATGTCTCAGTGAGCCGAGACAGCTGATTCATACCTACAAAGTCACAAGTGCAGAAAAAACATGGATACCACTGAAGCAGTTGTTTACAAGAAGCCTTATAGAGTATTTCTAAGGGACATTACCCAGATGTTAAGGAATAACCGCAGGGAGGGGGAGAGTGAGCAAGCTGCTACATGGCGTTTAGCTGCTTGCAGGGTTAAACCACAAGAAGGATGGATCTCAGATAGCATCAGATGCAATAGATGGGAAAAGCAGAGGAGTTACTTTGAAAAAGTGTTTGACTTTGTGACAGGAAAGAAGGGGATACTAGAGAAGAGGAAAGGAAAACAAATGGGTGGAGGAGAAAGCTCCCATGGGTTTATTGATTTTCTTTAGAAGACCATTACAGTGTGCCTTTCAGCTCAGATCAAAGGTCTACCTAGCTACGTATCTCTCTCCAGCAGTACTCAAAAACAGGTATCTATGGAGCTTTCTCCAGGATGTCCTCTCAGCTTCCCACAGAAACCTGAACCAGAAATGCTGTCCTTTCTATTTCATATCAGTGGATCTTTTTCTCCACAAATTTATTTAGTCATTTTGGAATCCATGTGCACTTTTAACATGCACAGCTTCCATAGCAAAAACTCCAATGGTACAACTACATGCTACTGCAAAGAACTGCTGCTTGCTTCTGAAGTCTGCTGGCTGCTATTTTCATCTGTTTTTCCTCATTCTTCTACTGGAAAGCACAGCTGTATCACAAGATCTGTTGTTCATTGGCTTTTCTATATCTCTTATGAACACCTTAAGGAGCATGAGCCTCTACAGACATTCCTAGACTCCTCTCACAATTCCCCTTCATTATGAAAATTAAACATGCTTCCTATGTATTATACAATTAAGCAGCCATAGTGACTTTGACATAGTATCTCCAGTTCTTGTTTCTAAAGCCCCATTACTCATTAAGACTTGACAATAAGAATTCAGAAAAGAAATCTTTTCAGAGCAGAACAAACTGTAGCAGAGATGTGAGGCTGCATCTTCCAGTGTTGTTTCCCTTTGTACAAGCTAAGACAGGTAAAATTGCAGTTACTAACATGGCATCAGGAATCAGTTTTATTCCACAAGATACATATTAAAAGCGATGAAAAATGAGCAGACTGATGCATTTCTATGCTTAGAAAATGTGCCTTACTTTGAAATACAAATTTTTATGACTCAAGCGGAGAAATAAAGTGTTATGACACTTCCTTTATAATCCCACAGTAGGATCGTAGCAGAGCAGAGCTGGAAGCCTAGGAGCCCCAGAGTCACAGCCACTACTGAGATTGCTACGCTGCACAGCTGGCCTTTCTCCCCTGTGAGATTGCTTAGCAATGGGCAACAGAGCATCCTATTCTACAAGGACCATACTTGTGAATTAGATGTGAATTAAGCAACAAAATTTGGAACAGATTTTCAGAAAAGAATTTTGTTCAGATCCAAATCAAAATCAAATTTTTAATTTTAAACACAAAACAAAGACTACTTACTACTACCCTTCGTAAATGAGTCTATAAAAGCATTTTTCGAGCAGCAAAGGCATTGACAAGGCAACCTGAGGGTAATTGCTTTTGGCAGTTGCACACATTTCAATTAACTTAATTCGAAGAGCCACCTGTGAATAAATAGCTGCAACTGTATTAAAATCCACAAGTGACACCGAAGAAAAGCCAGAGTTAGATTGCACTGGAAAGAAGCAGTACAAACTCTGAACTGCTTCCACATCATAAAAGGTTTACAGGGTACCTTGTGAGCAATTTTTCTCATCAACCCGGGGTGTATGGCTAATTTGCTTTATTTCTTTTGTCTTTGTATGGTACCATCATGGTTTTATGGCTGAAACTTAGCGACATAGTATAGGCCTAGCATAATAAAGAGACCTTGAGGAGACCCACGATGTGCCACAGAGAAGTACAGGCAGAGGAGACCCTGGCTTGACACTGGAGCCCCTACAGCTGTAAGCGTCTCACCACTGGCCAGTTAAGAGAAATGCAGATCTGCAGGCAGGGGAACTGGACAAAGCCGGGTTTCGGGGTTACAAAGAAAACAAAATAATAGTGTCTAGCACATTTAGAAAGCATCATAAACAATAACATGAGGTGGTATGTGGAACACCAGACCAATGAAGAAAGAGAAAGGTGTGAAACTGTGTTAGCTAACATATATAAAAGAAACTCCAAGTGCGTCCTAGAGTGAAGAAGAAACCATCATCTTGGACATCTTATTCTTCCCAAAGGATCCCAGATGCTTACAACTTGCCATAACATTCACAACAATAATACCAATGACAGCAAAGTGGAAACATCAACCTTGGGAACCAGAGGAACAGAAGAAGGGTGAGTACAATACCAGAAAATGGATAGAAACTCGGAAGCTTGCATACAACAATTTTAACTGCATTATTATTATTACTAATGATTTTTTTCGCACAAAAGTACTTCTTATTTTCCATGATAATTAGATCTGGACCGAGGATAATGTTTGGACTAAAATATCAGTCACACTAATTTTAAATTCTTAATTTTATATATATGAGGTGTGCCTTCTCTTTGCCCATTAACAAGATTTTGAGTGTAACAAAGTTCACAGACTATTTAAAAAACAGAACCAGGCTCTGAAAGTCTTAACTTTCATCCCATGCGTGTTTTTACCCTTCATCAGAGTACCACATCCAGTTGTGTACAACAGGGAGTGGGTGTTCAAGGTAGCGGTCTCATTGCATCAGTTGGTGGGATTTACCACCCTTCTCTATGTGACTCATTCCAGCTTTACTGTTAAACCCCACTCCCTGACTGCAGCAGCTTGTTCTGGGGCTCACTGGGAACTAAATGAAGTCATTCCCCACAGCAGGGGGCAGGAACATGACAGGCAAGACCGTTATAAAATTGCATTTATTATCTCTGGTATTTTGAACTAAAAAAACTTCAACTGCTCGCTTCAACCTGAACAATTATGCCTTAAGGCTACTTAGCTATCACAGAGATCCTTGGTCAAGTGCTACACAGCACAGACACAGTTAGCCCATGCCAAAAGTGTGCTAGACCTGAAGAGGGAAGATGGGAGCACTGATTGGTATAGGCCCTGAGCTTTCTTCCATATGTGCCCCACAAAGACAGGACAGACATACCTGGAGCAGACAAGCACAGGATTGTCTGGCAGGGGGTAGGAAGGACTGGGAAGTTGTTGGTTCTTGGCTCATTTCAGGGTCCTTCAGCAAAAGGACATCTCATCTCCTGCCTAGACAAACCATCCCTCACAGCACAGAGACCTACTTAACAATCACTAAAGTTTAATGTCTTATTTATTTGCTATCCTGAACTATGTCCAGTGAAGATAAAGACTGTAACTTCTCTTGACTCAATACTCTACAGAAGTCAGTATAAAAAGCAGAAGGCAGCCTTCAGGATGGAAGCATCATTCCTGTGGGGATGTGTGCAGCAGCCTATGCTAGTAAAGTGCTGAGGTGGTGGAAGGTTCATCCCAAAGGACCTAAAACTGCTGGAATCCAGCTGGAAGGTGACACAAACATGAAGAGATGAGATCCTAATATTTTAGCAATATTAGTATAAGGTAACACTCTTCAAAACGACTAGATCTGTTTAAAACTACTACAAGCAGCAAGGTGAGGAGCAAACATGTGTCAGTCAAGAATACAAAATCTTTTACATTGCCTCCTAATTCAGATAATAGCACAAAGTCTACTGCTGTGCCATGTGCTGAAGAAGGCAGTCCTGACTTTGCTTTTCACTGGTGTATACGCTTTGCCGTTTTACTGTTTCTTTTGCAAGTTCCTGCTTCCTGTAGGTCGTTCCAAAGCCAGCACACATTCTTTCTCCATACCTTTCCTTAAAATTCCTCTCTGCCACATTAGCTGTAAAGAGCCCTCAGGTAGTTGGTGTTCTGCCACCAAGAATTATGGCTATTGCTTCCTCATTCTTCTTTTTACAGTATCAATATGTTATCCTTAACCTATTATTTAAGACATAATCCTTTTACTCTGACAGTTATTTCCTCGTTCTACATCACACAGTGTTTGTGCAACAGGAAAGAGGTCACAAATGCATCCCCAACACAAATAAAAAAATAAACTCTAACTGTGAATCAGCATAATGGTTGTATATTCTCTAGCAAGATGCTCATGACAAGGACTGGCCTTCATACACATCTCTAAAATTCAAGAACGTTTTTGCTGTTACATAATTAGCTACAGAAAAAAAAATATAAGTTAGCAGACTATTATTAGCATCTCAAAGAGAAGCATTCTGAAGTTAGAAAATGTGAGAATTAAGGTTGCTGGGGCAACCTTCAATTCCTACCACTGGGCACAGGCATTATGATACACAGTTTAATTCCATAATAGCACGCTTTGTTTTCTGTAGGTTCCCTGCCTCACTTAAGCTCTCCCATGCTTATAAGCATGGACAGAGTTCAGACAATAAGCTTCTACTAGTATTTGGGTTTATGGTGTTCAGCATCTAAAGTCTTTTGTTTTTT